TAATAAATATAAATATAAATAAATAAATATAAATATAAATATATATATTTATATAATAAATATAAATATAAATAAATAAATAAAGACAAATAAATATAAATATAAATACATATTAATATAATAAATATAAATATAAATATAAATATAAATAAATAAATAAATATAAATAAATATAAATATAAATATAAATACCTAATAAGTGTATTAACTTTCTGTGCCTCAACCCCATAAGTATCCTTAACAGCATCCTTAATATTTTTTTTTGTAGCTTTTGGGTTACAAAGAAAAACAAGTGTATTTGTTTCTTCTATTTTTTTCATTGCGCTCTCTGTTGTTAGTGGATGCTGCAACACAGAAAATTTATCTTTTTTACGCAATGCTGGGATCGCGTTCCCACCCCACAAACGAGACAAACGAGGCGCGCGAGGACTGCGCGGCTTCTTCAGGGTGCGAGGCCTGCAGCAGCAGCAGCAGCAGCAGCAGCAGCAGCAGCAGGGACATTAGGAGATGCAGCAGCAGCAGCAGCAGCAGAAGGGACAGGAGAAGGTGCAGCAGTAGTAGTAGTAGTAGTAGTAGCAGGGACAGTAGAAGATGCAGCAGCAGCAGCAGCAGCAGCAGGAACAGGTGCAGCAGCAGCAGCAGCAGGAACAGTAGAAGATGCAGCAGCAGCAGCAGCAGCAGGAACAGCAGAACATGCAGCAGTAGCAGCAGCAGCAGCAGAAGCGACAGTAGCAGAAGCAACACCCCAAAACAGACCCCTCCAAACCCAACAGCAGCACCACCAGCAGCAGCAGCAGCAGCAACTCCTCCTCCTGCTGCTGCTGCTGCTGCTGCTGCTGCTGTTGCTGCTGCTGCTGTGTACCTGTAGAAGCGGACGTTGTAGCGGGCCTTAACAGTGGCTGTTCTGCTGCTCTTTTTGAGGCCCCTGGCCACCGCCTCTGCTTTCTTTACTTTTTTATCTGCTGCTGCAGCTTTGCTGCTGCTCTTAGCAGCTGCTGCTGCAGCAGCAACACAAACACACACACACATAACAAACTCCTGCTGCTGCTGCTGCTGCTGCTGCTGCTGCGGGTGGTGGTGGTGGTGGTGCTGCTGCTGCTGCTGCTGCTGCTGCGCCTTTCATTCGAGTACAAACAAACGCTGTAAATGCTGCTGCAGGTTCAGACACGAAAGTGCTGCTGCTGCAGCAGCAGCAGCAGCTGCTGCTGCTGCTGCATTTGCTGCGGGGCGGGGCCCCAGAGCAGCAGCACATGCAGCAGCAACTGCAGCAGCAACTGCAGCAGCAGCAGCTAAACCGCAGTATAAACTGCAGCATTTCTTTTTTCTAGAAACCAAGATGAATACTAAGCAACAGCAGCAGCAGCAACAGCAGCAGCAGCAGCAAATACTCCTGCTGCTGCTGCTGCTGCTGCTGCTGCTGCTGCAGTGGGGTGCCTGGGGTCTGGGGGGCTTACGCTTATCCTTCGGCGCCATCCTCCTAAAGAAAGAAAGAAAACAAACAAAAACAAAAAAGGGTTAATCAGCAACTGCAACGATAAACCCTCTTTATATCCTCCTCTGCTGCTGCTGCTGCTGCTGCTGTTGCTGCTGCTGCTGCTGCTGCTGCTGCGACTTCCAGGCCCAGCAGCCGTGGCAGCCGCTGCTGCGGTTGCTGCTGCTGCTGCTGCTGCTGCTGCTGCTGGTGATGCATGCAGCTGCAGTCTGTTGCGGTGTCTGTATATT